CCTCCCAAGTAGCTGGAACTAAAATGGTGTCCATTGTGCCCTGAGTTTTGAAGATGTGCAGTCATAGAATTGTCCTTACTTCCAGAGGGAATCCTATCAGAGTGAACTTTGCTTTCTCATACTATCTTGCTGAGATACCCTCCAGTTTGCCTCACAGTAATAAGTAGTGAAGAGAACTTGTAAAACTGCAGGTCTGTTCCTGGTGGCCTTCAGCTGGAGGACATAAACAAGTATAATTAACTCTCTTCATAGATGAGGCAAACAATGTCAGCAAAGTTTTTTTAAAAAGTCTGATAAAAACAGAAAAGTTAGACTTTTTAAAAATAGCTCAAGACTGTGAATATGTGTACATTTATAAACATTGCATGTGTGTATAGAATACCTCCAGGGCATTATGTAAAGCCATACTCTTTGTCCTGGTCCCTCTTTCAGTGGCTGGCTTTAACACCTGAGAATGCTCCATTATTAGTCTATTCCTTTGGGTTACAGAACTGATTATTGTTTTGAAAAAAAAACTAGTTCCATTTTATACACATTTATGTGTCAGTTTATTACTCTCAGTACTGTCAAAAAGTCAATGCTCACACCAAGACAGGTTGGTGGAGTGGGGTATGTTGGGGGTGGCTATGGGTGGCAGGTCCTGAAAAGTCATGATGGGGATCTCTTCAAAGTCAAATCTGGGGACAGAATATCTAAACAGGGAACAAATGAGAAAGTGTGAAAGCACTGAAAATAAAACTAAACAATTTCATTTTGTGTTAGGACCAATCTAACTTATTTATTTGTAAATTAGGAAAGAACACCAGGCTAGGAGTTCAGAGATCTGGGCTCTGATACTGACTGTACTATTTATTTGATTCTTCTTGACAAGATACTAGATCAAGATAATAAAATCAGTCCACTGGGTTCTCCAATGCACTAATCTGAAGCTCCCTAATAGGAGATGCTCATATGGACAGATGATCTTCCACCAACGCCAGATTCCTTTTACTCATATGCCTTCATTCATTGTATACCCACATTTTAAGCAGCTCCAGTGCTTCAATGTGTGCTAACTTCTGGGAAAATAATCTGGTCTCCACCCTGTAGCAATGCTTGAGCAGAACCCTATGTAGAAGCTTGCTGATCTCAGTACATGAACACATTTTGTATATTCTTTTCGAAAGAATATCTATGGTTTCCAAGATAGGTGTTCATATCTATTCATCAGTTAGTTTTAGAAAAAAAATGCATACTTTCTTCCTAGTTCTAAAGGCCTGGAATAAAGATCCCAGCCACAGAAGGTGTTTGATAAATACAAATATTTAACTGCTTTAAAACATCATGATTGCAAAATGTGCTAATAGGACAAGAAAGAGGAATAAATACTCAATTTGCAAATAAGAGTACTCTAGCCAGATTTTATTAATGTTATGGATTTGTGATAGCTTGTACTAGGACATATAAACTTGATATAATACCAGTGGAAGAGACACACAAGATATTGCTTTGCTGTGCTCTAGGAACAAGAAATCTCTGGCCTTATGCAGTTACTTGAACTTTTTAGGTAGGAATAAAAATTAGGCAAAACGCTTATTCCATGGGATGCTGGGATTCTTTCTTGGACATATGTAAGGAAGTATAGCCCAGCTGAGTTAGGTGCCACTACTATTTGCATATTTTCTAAGTTTCTCTGGTTGTCTCTTTTCTATATTGAAAAGGTAATCAAGGGAAATATTTTACATGTAATCTCTCTTTTATGTATGCCTCACTCTGCACACAATCCCCATCCCACATTAACCTCATTCAGGGTCACAACCTGTTCCTTCATATTCTATAATTCAGTTCTTCCAACACTAAATACTTTTTTTTCCAGAAAAGAATAGAATATATTTTTAAAGGAAAAGTAGGTTGACTCTGACTAGCCACTGACTTGGGAATTGAAGGAGAAGAACAAATCAATTCTCTTTTCTCTGTTTCCTTTTGACCTCCTCTGTTCTACCCACCACCTCATGTCTGTCAGCCTGCAGTGAAGAAGAGAGCAAAGTGTAGGAACCACCAAGAAGCACAACCAGCTAGACAGAAACTGAGAGTACTAGACCTTTCCATGTGTCTCTGAACCTGTGAGGAGGCACTGAACTAGTGAGCACCACCATCTGGTCTAATTACACTTGATGGAAAGTATGTAAGTCACAAACACAAGACTCCAGGAACATGAAATGCCAAACTCAAGTCAATTTGAAGCAACCATAAGAATCTCTCTTTTGAATGTCCCCTTAAAGCTTCTTTTCTTCTGTTTTAGTGTATGTATGTTGACAGACTGCAATGATTTCAGAAAAGGATTACTAGAATAATGAGGGTTCCAAAGAATAGATCTTTATTTTCAAGTACTTGAAAAATTGCTATATACAATGGGGAAGCCAATTGATTAAATATTTTATCCAGAGGTAAGATATGGCTTATTGAGTAGAAGACATAAGGAAGCCAACTTTGGTTCAGATTTTAATTTATGAATTAAAATGTTCTAGTAAGGTGTTAAGCTGCATACCACAGTGTTCAAAAAAAGTGTTCAGAAAGAAGCTAACCAAGGTGCCCTTCAAAAGATGTATAAAGAAATGTGGTATATATACACAATAAAGTATTACTCAGCCATAAAGAAGAATGATATTATAGCATTGATGGTAAATGGATAAAACTGAATACTATCATGCTGTGTGAAATGAGCCAGTGCCAAAAAGTCAGAGGTTGAATGTTTTCTCTAATATGCTGAAGCTAATCCAAACTAGGAGGGGTTAGAAAACAGAAGAAAGGTCAATGGAGTAGATAAAAGGGAATGAAGGGAAAGGGAGGAGGAATAGGATAGGAAAAGGGTGAAATGAATCTGACATAACTTTCCTATGTACATATATGAATATAGCACAGTAAGTCTCACCATCATGTATCTCCACAAGATATTAATTAAGAAGAAAAACTATAAATAAATACCAGAAAGATCAATAGAGTAGAGGGAAGAGAAGCAAGCGAGGCAAGAGAGGAGGAAAAAGGGATGTACTGGGCACTGAATTAGAACAAATTATATTCCATGTGTTTATAATTATGTCAAAATGAATTCTAATATTATATATAATTAAAAAGAAATAATAAAAAATAAAAAGACAATAATATAAACTCTTATTAAATTTACTGATGGTGGGCTGGGGATGTGGCTCAAGCGGTAGCGCGCTCGCCTGGCATGCGTGCGGCCTGGGTTCGATCCTCAGCACCACATACCAATAAAGATGTTGTGTCCGCCGAGAACTAAAAAATAAATATTAAAAATTCTCTCTCTCTCACTCTCTCTTTAAAAAAAAATTACTGATGGTTTCATTTGTATACCTTCCACTCTGATTTCTCTTTTTTAATTTTTTCCTCTTTTTCACTGTTGGTCTGCATAGACACATGTCACACACCATTTTACTATTTCAAATTTCTTGCTTAGATCAATGAAGAGAAATTTCTTAAGGAAAGGTCACTGGTTCTATAGGGAGAATTTCAAATTTTATTGAAAGTTCTTGTGAAAAGTTGTGATATTAAATACATATATTTGCAGAACTCCTTTCACATTAATGTGAGTGTGTTGCTTTCACTTAAAAAATAAGGAAGGATAATTAAAGAAAATGCCTACATATCCACCCTCATTGTTCTGAACTATTTTTGATTCTTCCAATATCCATGTGCATTTTATTGAATGAGCTCAATGAAAATGTTGGATAATATAATTGACTGTCAAATAATAACTGCTATTTTAAAAATGGAAACAGATTATAAAAATATTTCTAAAATTTAATGGATGGGTTGCATCACTCCTTTTAGGAAGCTGAAAAGAGGTATGATTTCATTTCTTAGCTGAAATCTACATCATTTTTTTCTTTAAGGAACGTAAGCCATTTGTTTTTAGATTACAATATTTTCTCTATCTGCTTCTCAAATTTCACCACCTAATATGCTCATTTTTTAACATACCTGTTTACAATTCACTTTTTAAACACATGGATTAAATTTTAATTGGATTTTGTAATTAAGTTTGATAAGTAATATTGTAAATCCTTATACTTTTAAAGCAATCATTCCTAAATAAGCTTTAAAAGGTTGTTTTTTTTTTAAAGAAGGGATACCACCTCTTTTACTAACTTTTTTTTTAAAAAGCATTTATTACCTTTAACGTAGTTTAATGTTGTGATTGTGTTGGAAGTCAATTATACATATTTTAGAGTATAATGTTTTGGCATTTGTGAATCTAAAGTCAGACAAAGGATTTTTTGGAAATAGAAAATTTAAGACAAATTGTAATAAAAAAAAAACCACCGTGGGATGTTTGTATGCAGAAGTGAGAAAGAATGGAGAGGCCATTAATATTAGAGCATCTACTATACGCCAGACTCTAAGCACAGAGGGTTTCATCTAGCCTTCCTAATGATTCTTACATAAATTTTATTATCTATTTTTACTCAGTAGAGGAAAATAGAGGCCTGAGAACTTAAAAAACATTCACCAGAGTGACATTTTTGTTAAATTACATTTTTCTTCAACATTCAAAACCAAGACCCCCAATTCCAAGGCCAGGGCAGGGTCTGTAGAAGGATGCTCCTGTCAGGCTGGCATCAAAAGGGCTGAGGAAGAATTTCAGTTGCTGTCATGACAGGGGTGTGCTTGGCTCTAGTTAGAGCATTATGTATTCCTACTTACTGCATTGGGCTATTACGAGATATGAGTAAGAAAATAGGTCAGTCGCTATGAAGGTTTTATACTTGATGAGAGGGCACTTTCCCTCCAGGTACTCCCTCTGGATGAGCCCGACACAGGAGAAATGCATTATCAATGATACTACCTGATGAGCAAAATGGTATCTTTTGTGTAACTGGTAGGAAGAAGGCAGCGAGGACATGCTGAAAACAAGAGCTGATGAAATCCCACTGGAACATACAGGGCATAAGGCAGAGAGAGGAGGCATACCATTTTTTTTAGCCTAACCAACTACTCACTCTGCAAACAGTCGGCGTTCAGGAGGTCCTGACACTTTTCATGGCACTTCACTCCACACTCCAGGCACTTCATGCCCTGCCGAGCAATGCCCCACAGGAGCCCTTCGCACTCATAGCAGTAGGTGGGTGTTGTAGCAGTCCAGACCTCGAAGTTGTGTGGGGTGGTGGAAGACATGGGGTAGATCAGAGCCTGCAAGGTCTTCTTGAAGACATGCATTTTCTGTGAGGATGAGAAAAGTGAACCATGCAAACCACATCAGTTGATTTGGAGAGGAATTTCAATACAAAACAGACTATTTTATCATTTGTCCTTAAAAATGCTATTTTGAGAGAGCCCGCTTATTCTTCTCTCAGTACTCTAGAGCCCTATTCAGTTATTTGAACACAAAGAACTCCCTTAGGTTCCAAACTGGATTGGGCTCTGCTGTCATATATCTTCTTTCATGGCAGCCAGCAGTTTGAATTACTTGATAAAGCCCCTTTCCCTGCTACATTGCAAACTCCTCAAGGGGAAGGGTGATGAACATCTTACTCCTTACTACACCAACTCTTAGAGCCTAACCTAGCTTCTGACTAAATACGGGTATTTAGGAAATATTAATTTAAAAAAAACCATCAATTTATATTACTATTCTTAATCTTAGTAGACTTTATTAAAATTGTGAGGTTTAAGGAAAGCATTCTTATTTTAGAAAATTATTTTATTTATTCTAATTAGTTATATATGACAGCAGAAAAACAATTCAATTCATATTACACAAATAGAGCATAATTTTTTATGTCTCTGGTTGAACACAGAGTCACACCATTTGTGTTTCCATACGTGTTCTTAGGGTAATGATGTCCATTTCATTTCACCGTCTTTCTCACCCCATGTCCCCTCCTTTCCCTCCCTCTCCTTTGCCCTATCTGAAGTTGTCTGCTGAGCAATGAATTCCTCCCATGCTACCCACCCCCAAGCATTCTTATGTTGACTCCAAACCTTTAGACACAATCCCCACATCTCTTTTGTATCCTACCCAGGCCTCTCTGACTGTTGTTCTCCATGACACTTTACCTCTCTTTAGCCCCAAACATGCTTCTTTTGTAATTCATTCTGCAGGGAATTCTTTTCAACACCTATCATTTAGAAAGTTTCTCATCAACTAATTAAGAAGAAAGCATTTGTAAAAAAGTTAAATGTGGCATTCTCTCATGCTGATATATTTTAAAGGAAATCATTTTTAATAGTACATGGAAGGATTTTCTAATTACAAGTCATTGTTGAGTTGGAAAAAACACTAAATGATACTCAGGGGACTAGAGTTCCTTTGTATGAGTCTAATCTATGATCTTTAAAATGGGCTACTTTTGGCAAGAACTAACACTATCTTTCATCTTTCTTTGCTTAGTGCCTACACAGTACCTACCATTGTCCCTGGGATATAGAAGGGATTTATGTTTTTTGTTTTGTTTCATAAAATGAATAAATGTCCTGCCATTTAGAGTCTAGACTTTTAGTCTAGAGTGAGAAATAAAGTTGTTAAGACTCACTGTTCTCATGCACCCTGCCTTTCACATGGTCTTATTTTGAAGATCAAATTATATACTGATAACAAAAGTATTTTCCAGATTTCAAAACATTAAATAAAAATACTAAGTATTAGTATTGATGGGAGATTTTCAAAAACAAATAAAAATAGGTGATAAAAGAGAAGTGATTGGACGAGTCCTACTATACTCTTCTCACACCTCATTATGCGAGTGACTTGTTGAGAGACACACCAGTACTCTTCATAATTATATTTATTGATAATTTCCTATAATTCTCTGTTGCCAAATGAATGCCTATTTACATAATCCCAGAGGAGCCTAACAGATTAGGAAGCACTTATATTTTTGCATTAATCATCCTTAAGTCTCATTTCAGAATATTTTCCTACTGTGTTAAAATGACCAACTGTGCACTATTTTTCAATTTCAAAGTATGGTAACAGCATTATTTCCCTTTATAAGTCCATTCTTCTCACTGTGTTTTCCCAGAATATGTTTGATAATGGTATTGGGAGGTCCTCTACCAGGGAATTAAGCTTTGCTTCAATTTTTTCCTTGAATTACGAGGTCCATTCTTACTATTACATGAGGGTCTGGTCAGTCCAAAGCTCTTTATGTTTCAAATGAATCTACAGAACAGCAGCATGGAATATTAATATGGGAATTAATTAAGTGGGAGGCCCCAGTGTCAGGATTTATACAACTAGAACTGGATCCATCCCTTTTCAATGATAACCTGAGCCAAGTAAATCTTTTAGCTTCATGTCAGAATGAAGATGTTTTACAGAAAACTATTGAGAATCCTTTGAGAATTAGAAGTGTGTATTATTCATCTTTGTCTCCCCTTTACTGCCCAGTAGAGTATCTGCAATATCATTAAAGTGAATTGAATTATCTTTGGCATAACAGATTCACAGTCTGCTGTTCTAGTGGTTTGAGGAACAAGGGTGTGTGTGTGTGTGTGTGTGTGTGTGTGTGTGTGTGTGTGTGT